TCATTCACAGCTCTGTCCACAAGCCTAAAAACCTTCATAATCTCTTGCATTTTTACCTGGTTCCTTGCAGTAACCATGGTGGTGGAGTGGTGCCCTGAGTTGCAAAGCAGTTGCATGCCCTGAAATTTTTTTGAGAGTTTCCCCCTGCCTTCCATGCAAGATCATGGCTTTGTATCATACATTTCCTTGGGAGGTGGCTGGAGTGCCAAACTAAAAGCAGATGCTGGATTGGATTTTCTGTCTTGTCAGTCCTGTGAGAGCAGTCATTGGCATGCATCTCCCTTATTTAAATCGCAGTTGTCCTGGGTAGATGACTTCTTGCATCCTGGAACAATTGCAAATTACATGAAAAAATATACTTAAGTGTGGGGGTGCTTCCAAATCAATACAACCTTTTCCAACTACTCATCTTCAAGTCTTCTGTGGAAAATAGAATCATAAATTATAGAATGGTTTGGGTTGGAAGGGACCTTAAATATCATCTATATCCAACCCCCCTGCCATGGGAGGGACACCTTCCACTAGACCAGGTTGCTCAAAGCCCTGTCCAACCTGGCCTTGAACACTTCCAGGGAGGGGGCAGCCACATCTTCTCTGGGCAGCCTGTTCCAGTGTCTCACCACCCTTGCAGTGAGGAATTTCTTCCTTATATCTAATATAAATCTTCCCTCTGTCAGTTTAAAACCATTACCCTTGTCCTATCGCTACCTGTCCTTGTAAAAAGTCACTCTCCATCTTTCCTGCATCCCCTCTTTTAGGTACTGGAAGGCTGCTATCAGGTGTCCCTGGAGCCTTCTCTTCCCCAGCTGAACAACCCCAACTCTCTCAGGCTGTCTTCATAGGAGGGGTGCTCTAGTCCGCTGATAATCTTTGTGGCCCTCCTTTGGACTTGCTGGAGCAGGTCCATGTCCTCCTTATGTTGGGGGCCCCAGAGCTCAACACAATACTCCAGGTGGGGTCTCACAAGATGGGGGTAAAGGGGGAGAATCACCTCCCTCGACCTGCTGGCCATATTTCTCTTGATGCGGCCCAGGATGCAGCTGGCTTTCTGGGCTGCAAGCGCATGTTGCCAGGTCATATTGAGCTTCTCATCAACCAACATCCTCAACCCGCCCTCTGCAGGGCTGCTCTCAATCCATGCATCACCCAGCCTGGTTTGTGCTTGAGATTGTCCCAACCCATGTGCAGGACCTTGCACTTGGCCTTGCTGAACTTCATGAGGTTTGCATAGGCCCTCTTCTCAAGCCTGTTAAGGTCCCTCTGGTGGTGTTGCTGACCTTGCTGAGGGTGCACTCAATCCCACTGTCCACGTTGCCATCAAAGATGTTGAACAGCACTGGACCCAGTATCAACCCTTGAGGAATGCCACTCATCACTGCTCTCCACTTGGACATTGGGCCATTGACTGCAACTCTTTGAGTGTGACCATCCAGCCAATTCCTTATCCATCAAGTGGTCCATTCATCACATCCATGTCTCTCCAATACAGAGACAAGGATATAATGAGGGACAGTGTCAAATTCTTTGCACAGTTCCAGGTAGATTACATTAGTGTCTCTTCCTTTATTCACCAACGCTGTAACTCCATCATAGAAGGCCACCACATTTGTCAGGCATGATATGCTCTTAGTGAAGCCATATGGCTGTTACCGATCACATCCTTGTTTTCCATGTGTCCTAGTATAGTTTCCAGGAGGATTTTCTCCATGATCTTGCTGAGCACAGAGCTGAGACTGACTGGCCTGTGGTTTCCTGGGTCTTCCTTTTCCCTTTTTAAAAATGGGAGTCATGTTTCCCCTTTTCCAGTCAGTGAGAACTTCACTGGACTGCCATGACTTCTCAAATATGATGGATAGTGGCTGAGCCACTACATCTGCCAGCTCCCTCAGGACCCATGGAGGCATCTCATCAGGTCCCATGGAATTCTGCACCTTCAAGTTCCTTAGATGGTCTTGAACCAGACCTTCTACAGTGGGTGGTTCTTCATTCTCCCAGGCCCTGACTTTGCCTTCTGCTACTTGAGTGTTGTGGCTGGAGCACTTGTCACTGAAGACTGAGGCAAAAAAGTTATTGAGTCCCCGAGCCTTCTCCATATCCTGGGTAACCAGGTTTCCTGTTTCCTTCCAGAGGGTGCCTGCATTTTCCCTAGTCTTCCTTTTATCACCAACATACCTATAGAAGCTTTACTTATTGCCCTCAACATCCCTAGCAAGATTTAATTCTAACAGGGCTTTGGCCTTCCTAACCTGATCCCTGGCTGCTTAGACAGTTTCTTTGTGTTCCTCCCAAGATACCTGTCCTTGCTTCCACCCTCTGAGGGCCTCCTTTTTATGTTTGAGCTTATCCAGGAGCTCCTTGTTCATCCATGCAGGCCTCCTGGCATTCTTACCAAACTTCCTCTTTGTCAGGATGCATCACTCCTGAGCTTGGAGGAGGTAATCCTTGAATATTAACCATCTTACTTGGGCTCCTCTTTCTTCCAGGGCTCTTCCCCATGGTACTCCACCAGGCAGATCCCTGAAGAGGCCAAAGTCTGCTCTATTGAAGTCTGGGGTAGCGAGCTTGCTGTGCACCTTCCTTGCTGCCCTAAGGATCCTCAATTCCACCATTTCATGGTCACTGCAGCGAAGGCTGCCCTTGAGCTTCACATTCCCCACCAGCCCCTCCTTGTTGGTGAGAACAAGATCCAGCATAGCATCTCTCCTTGTTGGCTCCTCTATCACTTGGTGAAGGAAGTTATCATCAATGCATTCCAGGAACCTCCTGGATTGCTTATGCCCCATTGTGTTGTCCCTCTAACAGATATCAGGGTGGTTAAAGTCCCCCAGGAGGACCAGGGGTTGTGAATGTGAAGCTGCTCCTATCTGTCTATAGAAGGGCTCATCTGCTCCATCTTCCTGATCATGTGGCCTGTAGCAGACCTCCATTATAATGTCACCTGTCCCTTTTAAAGTTTGATTGTTGCTCCAAGGTCATTTGTATTTTGCATCGAGGCCTGTGCAGTTGTCCTGGTTTCAGCTGGAATAAAGTTAATTTTCTTCCTAGTAGCTGGTACAGTGCTGTGTTTTCGATTTAGGGTGAGAATAACGTTGGTAACACACTGATGCTTTAGTTGTTCCTAAGCAGTATTTATACTAAGTAAGTCAAGGACTTTCAGCTTCTCATACTGTTCTGCCAGCAAGGCTGGGGGTGCACAAGAAGCTGGGAGGGGACACAACAAGGACAGCTGACCCAAATGAGCCAAAGGGGTATTCCATAACACATGATGTCATGCCCAGTATGTAAACTGGGTGGACTTGGCTGGAAGACACCACAGCTCAGGAGTTGGCTAGGTATCGGTCAGCAAGTGGTCAGCAATTGTATTGTGCATCGCTTCTTTTCTATGATTTATTATTATTTTATTTTCCTTTTCTGTCCTATTAAACTATCTTTATACTATCTTTATTTTTCCTGCTTCTCCCTCCCCATTCTTGGGCGGGCATGCAGAGCAAGCAAGTAGCTGTGTGGAGCTTAATTGCCAGCTGGGGATAAACCATGACAGCTATGATTCACTTTTTACTCCATTTGCCACTGATAAGAATGGCTCATCTTTAGAATCTGATTTTCTCTGTGGAGTTTTCTAGGAGCTGGAGGCTGGGTGATTAATTTTATTGGGGCAATAAATTATAAAGAAAGGACTATGTCATTCTTCTTCAACAACACTTCTCCCCAAGATGACAGCATAATAAATTACGGATGTACAGCAAATTCCTAAATGCGATCAGTTGACTCACTGTGCTGGGTGGATGGAATAAGAGCAGGGCTGATGGGTTCAGACACTGAAGTTACATGGAACCTTTACCACTGCCTTAAGACAGTATTGGGTGCTCTACTTTTGATAGATGGTTAAGCCTAAAAGCTCACACTGGAAAAAGTTGCTTTCAACGAGGTCAGATAGTCTGTCAGCAGCACACAAAGATCTCTCCTAATGTATCATATTTTAAATAGTAGGGTTTGTCTTGCTGGTTTGAGCCATTACTCTCATAAGGCTTTCATCTGGACGTCAATAATGATCAGTGTCTGAGGCTTCAAAGCAAATAAGAAAAAAAAAATAGCACAAGAAGTGCCAAATGTCTGCTACTTACATAATTATAGGGACAGGAAATGTCTGTTCTGACCCCCTTGATTTTCAGCTTCCATCCTGAAGATTTGCTTATCCTTACATTCATGTCCATAATGCAGATATTCTTGAATAATAAAACACATAGCCCCTTTTGTTGCCTTTCGGTGCCCTGTATCCTAGCAGCAATGTATCGATGGTGCACTCCATGAGGGCTACAGTGCGGGCTGTAAACCACTATGGCTTGGGACCTGCTTCACAAATGTTCTGAAAAGAGGGCAGGAGCTGGAATCGATAATCGCACAAACTGTCCCACTGCATTTATTACTTCTCATGAGTTAATTCATGGATATTAAATCCAACAGGGACTCTTATGATCATCCACACTGAACTCCTGCTTACAATGTATAATTTAACCTGGTAATTCCTGCATTGGAGCAAACAACCTGTGGCTGAACAAGTATGTATTTTTAGAAGCCCCATTGATCCTGATTTAATCATTTCACATCATGGAGAATTCTCAAAAAAAAGCCTTGGAAAGCCATTCGCTTGTTTTTCCTAAATGTAACCAGGAGGTGATTAGTCTGTCCAAGGTGGTGCTAGGAGTTGCTAGCTAAGGCCAGGGAATGGAACCAGGTGAACGAGCTCCCAGCCTGTGCTGTCAATATAAGAAACCTTTCACTCCAATGTCCATAGGATATTCTCAATCAAATTGAAACACACAATTTATCTTTCTAAAACCATCCAGGTTTAGATGCTCCTGCACCTGATGCTGTGCTATGTATTTTCTTACTGTTTTGGACTGTATTCTAAGATAAAAAATGCTCTTCAGAAAACTGACAGCCAATGTAAGATTAGGGTTCAGAAACATTTAACTATTTTTTTATTCTCCTCTGTATAGCTGAACAATTAAAAATCTGAGCTGCAGTCTTCCGTAACAAGAGGCGTTCTGAACCTGAGGAGGCAGAGAACGTGGCTGCTGGCTTCTAGGCATGACCCCCTAACTTGTACTATTTATATTTTTGACAAAAATAACCAATATAAGGTACACTGAGTGCAGAGCAGCTTCTGATCAGAAAAAAACACAGAAATCTGGAGGTGCTCTTGCTCTTATTCAGGCAAATTTCCACTGATTCTTATGCAAAGGCATCATAATTTAGCTCATCAGCTCTGCTTTTTAAACAAACATGTAAACACGTGCATGCATGCATACTCCTCTGTCCTTTTAGGGACTATAATGTGTTCCTAAGAATTTGGGCCACAGGTTTTGAAGAGAAAATCTGCTTAGTGGCCCAGATATTTATAAAGCTGCTAGCAAATATAGAGACAGCATGACAGATGTGCAGACAGTTAGGAGGAATTGTTATAGGCACGAGACTCATTTGTCGCTGACGTGTGTTCCCCTGCTTACTCGACCCACTTGCAGTGTGCCCTTTGTAGGGTATTTGATGTTGTGTTGTTTTGTTTTTCTGGCAATGACCTAGAGAACCCTACTTCAAGATTGTTATCACTGGGGAGGGAATGAATCCTGTTCCCTTGGGGTTCATGGGGTCTGGATGAATTTATTCTGAAGTCCAAGTTCAAGGTAACAAGGGTTACAGGGGGAAGGTCTTTGACACCAAAGCCAATAAGAAAAGGAAGGGGGTAGGAAAGTAAGAAGGGGGTATTGAAATCCCCATGTATTTATTATAATCCTATCCTGAGAACCACTGAGCTGGAGCTTTGCCTAACCCCTGTCTGCAAGGTTTCCCTGGCAGAGCTACAGAAGTAGCCAATACATTACAGTTGTGGGGACTTAGTTTCTCTGAGACTAAGGCAATTTTGGTGTCTAAAGGTAGGTTCAGCGTTTTAGTACTGATTGATTCTGTAGGAAAAAAAAAGAAAACAACCCAAAACAAACAACTTGGGATTTTTCTAATTTAATTGATTAAATGTCTTTGTCCAAAGCACTAGCTCAGGGACTCATTATCCACTTAAACCTCAAATCTTTTTCACACTCATGGGTTTGAGACTAGACTAGCCCACCATCTTGTACATACAGGCAAGGTGCTTCAATTCATTTTTTTAACCTCACTGTTCAGCGCATTGAAATGCATATTGTTTCTTTATGCCAACTTTATCTTCAGATCAATAATCCTGGCATAGTGTCTTAACAATCTTTGTTTTTGCTGCAGATAAGCTTATTCTGAGTCATTCTTCCTCCTTGTTTGCTTCTTTATGGTTACTTACTATGTTAAATCAGGAGAGAAAAACCTTTTCCTTACCAAAAGTTGAATGGGTTTTGATGAGCCATAAATTTAAAGTCACCTAATGCTTTCAATGTACCGGGGATGAGTACTCCTGTAGGCAAGGGGGACTGTGAACCACAAGCTTCCTTTGACTGAATTAATAGTGATAGTTCTATAGTCATCACTATTCAAAAAGTAAACATTCTTAAAAATGAGCCATCATACAAATTAATATATTCCTATAAAATAACACTAAATCAGTCACATCAGGTTCTTTTTTTTTTTTTTTTTTTTTTTTTTTTTTTTTTTTACTGTATTTCTGTGATCATGATTCTCTCTAGGAGCAAACAATTTACTGTATTGTAAAATCTGGCTATGTAACAGCAGTGAAAACTTGGGCCTAGAGGAGCCCAGCTTTCTAAAGGACTAAAAAGGTGAGCTGGCATACTAGTTCTGACAAGAGTATTAGCTCTTCTTTGGAATTAGTCCAAATGATCCAATTTTGTCATTTTTTCATCTGAAGAAGCAAAATATGGCACAATAATTGTGAAGCAAGTACATTTAAAAATTTAACAAGTTGCAAATGTGTTGTAGGTTTGATCCAAAGCCTGTTGTAGTCCATGGAGAGGAATGATTTCTCAAACACAGTGTGAATAAGAGAGAGGGAGAAGGAAGAATAGTGGAGAACTTCAGGAAGAGCAAAGGGAAAAACAGAATAAAGTGACAGGTTTATTAGAATTATATCCCAGCTTTCCCTCTTTAATCCCCATGTACGTTTCCCACTGTTCTTGTTATTTTTTCATGTATCCTTTATGGTAAGGTCACAGCTAGGAGCGTTTTTCTGAAAGAGAAGCTCTCTACACTAAGCATTTTGCCAGCTGGCTGTAAGGCTCTTCTGTTCACACCAAACGTTGAAAGAAGGACCTCTTCCTCCATCTCAGACCTCCTCTGACAGGCAGCTGGAGATGCCTTCCCTTCTCCTGGGACCTGCCCCTCCATCAGTCTCCTCACAGGATTGTAGGCTCTTGTGTGCTGTTGTGCTGCAAAATCCCTCTTTTGTCCTCCTCTCCTCATTGTGGATTCAGTCGTGGCTCAGAAACAGAGACAGCCAACCACAACAACTTTCTCCAGGAGTTCAGAACTAATCTTATCACAATCTCTTGGCATCAGAGAAATTAACTTCTTTTGAATGAGACTGGATAAAAAATTAATGTGAATGTTTATCAGATAAAGTACCTTTTCTGTTTATGGAATTATTCTTCAAGCCTTTGCATGTTCTTGATTTGCCTTTCTTCCAAACAGAAATTCAACCCAGGGAAAATTTACTTTCCCCTCCATTATGATCATCAAAATTTTACCTGAGTGAACTTTCTTCCCTGAAGTCAAAGTCAGTTCTGTGTTTCAGTAAATTTTATTCACAGCCCCAGTCAAAACCACCAGATCTTCTTAAAGTATCCAAAGCATGTATTTGGTCTACTGTGAAGCCAGAGTTGCTAATGAGCATGGAATTGCTCATCAAGATGGGCCTTTGCAAGAGAAAACACCATTTGGAGAAGTTGAACTTTACTTGAGTAAATCCCCCATCAGGAGGCCAGGCTGCTAAGCTACTGGAAAAGTAGGGTAGTCAGCAATAGAGAAGCTTTAGGGAGGTTAAGTGTGATCAGACAGATTGTTTAACATTGAAGTCAGTAGATCAATAGGTCCCTGTACCTCTCCCCCAAATAAATATTTCTTCACCAAAAAAATACCATGTAACTGATGAGAAGCTGCTTACCACTGTGGCTAGGATGAGACACTTCAGGTTTTTATTTTATATGTTTTGTATGTTAAAGGCTCTAGGCAAGTGAAAAGATGTGTGGCACTACATTAATATGAAATAGTAATGGCAGTTGCAGAGATGGAAAAAGGATGTTGGAGCATCTTGATTAAGGATACCAAACGGCAAACATGGTGCTGTTTGCCGTGCTGACTTGTGCCGTTTAGGTTGATCACAGTGCAGACCACAAGCCAGACTTAAGCCCTGGGGCATGTCAGGTCTGTCATCACCCCACATTCTCCATGGGGAGATGCAAATCCTCCATTTGCCCAGGCTCTTCCACCAGCTTGTCTTCAGGTGCCCTACAGCACTGAAAACACCCCCGTGACTCTGCCAGCATGTGTGTTTCAGAGGTGTGCTGCAAGCAGGGAGTTTGGCTGGTGGCCCTGGTCACACAGGTTTCATGTCCCCTCTTCTCAATCACACTGGAGCAGACCTGAACCACTGGGGCATTACAGCTCACATCCAGAAACTAAGGGCAGGGAAACGTGGAGTTTTAGTCACGTTTAGAGGAGTTTGAGGTTTTTTAATCTGTTCTTCAAACATTCAACAAACATTCATAAAGCTTATACTCTCCAAATTATTTACTATTACTTTTAATTAATTATAGTAACCCCTGTTACTTTGACATATGGGAAGTAAACAACTGCTTTGACTAACTAAATACTCAATCAGGTTGGAGAAGGTCTTAATTAGTTAATTTAATTAATCACACAGTCTGTTTATGGCTGTTCATGTGCCGTGGAGCAGTAGAAATGGCTGTTATTACGCAATGAGAATGCAACCATGCTTCTTCCTTCAAGATAGTTAAAAAAGGTGTTCTGTCTGTGTCTTGTAATATGTACCATCAGGTGTAATTTTTCTTAGGTTTTTGTCTTAAGAGTTTAATACCAATTATATCCAGTATATCATTTGTTGGGAACACATACCTTACATTAGCAGGAGAACAGGTTATGTGATTTATAGAGGCAATTACAAGTTTGCAGTGAGATGGGAATTCTGTGAGTAATGCGGTATGTCCTGTTCATATCTGCCAAAGGTTGAGAAGGACAAAAATATCAGAATTTGAGACTGTATTAATGAATGCATGCACAGAAAAAAAACCCCAAACTTTAAAAGTACTTTTCCAGCAAAAATACCATAAAGCACTGTAAAACCTATGCATTTTGCTCCTATGTGCTGTAAAATTAATGTGGAAGTTTGAAATCTGTTGTAGTAAGAGAGTGGAAAAATCCAAGGCAGTTAATTTGAGAAGCATATTTCGTGACTTTAAAAGATGGGACAATTAATCTACAGTAGTCATATTTAAGAAATATATGTAGTGCTCATAAAAATCTTCAGGCTGACATCAATGTATATAAACCCTGTTGGGTCAACTCCTTTGCAGCGTGATGGTAATTACTCTGAAATCAATGACTAGTCTGCATTCGGGTCCTTTGGACTGGCTGCAAGTCTGCCTGTACTCATTTTTCATACTACAGGTACAGAAAGGGCCACAGTGAGACTAGCTTCCCTTGCAGGATAATTGCTTCTCCACCCTGATCAAAAGGGATTGTTCTCAGATTAGAGTTGAAAAGAGATGATTAATCTGTGTACTCTGTTCAGTCCTGGGTCTTTGTATTGTGGTCAGCAGTTCATGAAGAACCCAAGTGGGAAACACCACCTCCTCTTCTCCCCTTGGCTGCCAGGTAGTAACAACTTTCAGTTACTGCTCACCTGGTCTAGACTCATGCAGTAGCCTGGAGGTAAAAGATATGTAACCACTAATGAATCTTTTGAATTGCCCAGTTCCCACTTCTTCACTTAAATTATACTTTTTAAAACCATGTACCAAAATTACACAGTATTCTTTGAAGAAGAAAGTTTCTGCCTTTCACAGGCATCATTCTTTACATCCTCTCTTGGAAAATCACAGGTGCATTATATCACTGCTATAGGTGTTATTTA